CCATTTGGAACAAGATAAACTAAAATTCTGACTTCATGTCATACACTTAGATGAATTCCGTCAGTCATAGATATACTTAAAGAAATAAATGATCATTCCTTCAGAGGGTTTTCTGAAGCAGTGAGCTACTTCATACTACTGTACGAAGATATGAGAGTCCCATGGGCTTCACATAGGTAAAGAGTGTTTTTTGTTGTTTGTTTTTTAAGAGGTTGAAGTTAGGTGATTACAGGAACAAATCCTAAATATTCAATTCAAAACCTGCTTCCATAGAGGTAAATTGATGAAATCCAAACTAAGTAGAAAAATCACAAGAGTTTTAAAATACAAGCAAACTGAATATTTTGAATATTTATTTTATATCTGTTATGTAAAATTAATTAATTGTTATGCTAGGATCTTAGACAACAAAGAAATGTGAATAGTCTCTACTTCCAGCTTATCTGGCTTTGAAATCCAAACAAACAATATCCAAGGATGTTCCATATAATATTGGGAAATCCTATTGTGATTGTTTACAAATGGGGAGAATAGAAAAAAATGTCAAAAGTTAGAAAACTGGAGTTAGAAAATTACTATCTCCATATCCACCCCTTATTTGTGTTGTCCCTCCTCTATTCCATTATTATTCAACTCACTGTTTCAGCCCTGCTCTTCTCGCCCAGCATATGCTTTCCTAATTCTTACTTTAACTCCACCCCTCAAAGAAGTCTTGAAGAACCATCTCACCCACCCTACCCAACTATCCCCCCTAAGAAATGCCCTCATTGCACCTTGTACTTTTTTCCATGACAGTGCTCTTTCCAGGCACTGTGATTTTATAAATGTTCACCAACACCATCTCCTTCTGGTGGGAGCTATGGCTACTCAGGGCTGTGTCAAACTTGGTCACTCTCACTAAAATCTGCTAACACACAGTTCCATGCATGGCTGTTCCATGCATGTCTATTTGATCATACAGTCCTAAGTCAAAGGAATTACCCTCTGTCAGAATTCTAATGGTACAAATGGACTGTCCTTCTATGGCTTCTAACCATGAGAAAGAGACTAAAAAGAATATTCATTGGTAGGAAGTTGCAGATTCTACTTGGGTAACCCATTATTATTTATGATCCTTAAATGTATTAACAAAATCAATTTTCTGCTCAGAATATACTGTCAGACCCACAGATTCTGGTGTGATTAGCTATCTAATAGTTGTATGCTGACTTTCACTGATTCTTGTAGTATAAATCAGACTATGAGTACAGTGCTTCTTGGTCAAAGTCTCCCTTCCTTCATTCTTCCCAATTTTCCTCCTTCCATCCCTACTCTCAAGTTACAAGTTACATTTTTTACATAATGTACATTGGATATATTGGATATAATGACTACATTTGTTCACCATCTGTCCCTCATTGGCTTACCATTCTTTCCTCAATTCTTTATTTTATTTTATTTTTTGTCAGTTGTGAGGCTTGAACTCTGGGCCTGGGAGCTGTCCCTGAGCTCTTCAGCTCAAGGCTAGTGCTCTACTAGCGCTCTACCACTTGAGCCACAGCACCACTTCCAGTTTTCTAGTGGTTTATTGGAGATACGAGTCTCACGGACTTTCCTGCCTGGGCTGGCTTTGAACTGTGATCCTCAGATCTCAGCTTCCTGACTAGCTAGGAATACCGGCACCCAGTTCAATTCTTTTCTTTATTCACCCTTAAAATAGTTACTGATGTTCACTTGTGCTCAGCAGAGCCCCATACTTACTATTTTCCACCTTCTATTCCCCATACTTTCAATTAATTCTCCCCCTCCATTCCTCAAACCAACTCTATTTTCCAATTCTTCATCCATTTTTCCCATGAGGTAACTGCTATGTTACCATCCAGAGTCTATAAAAGTCTAAAAGCAAAAAGCCATTAGATCTTAGTCATCTATGTGCCTTCCTGGGGATCAAACACCATTTTTTAAAAACTGTCACCAAACACTGCCCCACGGCCATCACCAGCAGCCTATCACTGTGCCCTGAGCCTTAGGGAGGAAGAGAAATCCATAGAGAAGATCAGGCCCATTTGCAGCTTCTCCCTTCATCTTCCTCACATAAGGAGTCTGCCTCAACATTTCCAATAATTTTGATCTCTGGTCAACTTTATGAAAGCTACTTTCCAACAGCATCAAAAAGGCAATTCTGTGCTGTGACTAGGAGACATTTGAGAACCATGAGCCAAAGGAAGACTATGACATAACTTAATGAGAATAGCTCTCATGTTGTCTCTACAACATCCCCCTCCCCAGTCAACGTCCCACAAGAGCCCAGTCTCCTTTGGGGTCTGAGCTTAGAAACAAGCTTTATCTTCTCTTGGTTTGCCAGAGAAGGGAATCTGTTATGTGTTATTCTACCTGGCCAACATGTCTAACTACATATACAGAGATTGTGTGTGTGTGTGCGTGTGTGTGTGCGTGTGTGTGTGTGTGTGTGTGCGTGTGTGTGTGTATGTGTGTGTGCCTGTTCTAGGGCTTGAACTCAGGGCCTGGGCGCTGTCCCTGAGCTTCTTTTGCTCAAGGCTAGCACTCTACCACTTGAGCCACTGTACCACTTCTGGCTTTTTCTGTATAAGTGATACTGAGGAATTGAACCCAGAGTTTCATGCATACCAGGCGAGCATTCTACTATTAAGCCACATTTTCAGCCCACTGAGAGATTCTTGAGGCATAATTCTCTTTACTTTCTCTCCAGCACAGCTCCGCCCCAAGCTTCCCTGACATGGGCCATAGTCGGCTTATTTCCTCAGCAGCATCTACACTGTACTTCCAAGCTACACATCCTGGTCTGTGGGTGGCCTTTCTGGCCAAGGATGGACTAGAGATTTTCTGTTACTAATCACAAATGCTTAACCATGTTGTTCTCTGAGAATATTTTAATCTTCTATATATAAGTGATCAAATATTTCTGTACTTGCAAAACACTATTGATTTATTTAATCCAACAGCAAAATATAGTCATCCTGACAAACAATACTACATTGTAACTACACACAGGAAGGTGACATGAAGCAGCAAATGGCTGAGTTTTAGTGCCTTCAGGGGGGGAAAGCACTACTTCGGATTTATTTACTGTTTATTAATAGTCAAGATCACAGATGTTTATTAATAGAGCCAACAGATCCGGTTCTCACAAATGTACAGACCTGATGTCAACGAAAACTCTGAAAAACAATGACACTCCGTGCTATTTTCTAACTCAATAAAACACTTTACACTGGCCAAAAGAGAAAGTATATTAAATTTTTTATTAGTCAACTGAAGCTTGCTGGAAGTCAGTTTTTCTTGCTTCCATTTACAAATCCCATTTATCACTGGGCTGTTTCAGAAGCCCACTGTGAAAAAACATCTTTTCCCTTCAACTACTTGTACATGTCAGCCTAAGGCTGGGGAGCAAGCCTCCTTGCAAAGAAAGAACACAACCACTTACAAAGCTCAGGAAATCTACATCAGTGGTAAACAGTCTGGCGTGCGGAGTGGTCAGGAGTCTTCAGAGAGGACACTGCAGGAGACAGGTGTGCCCAACCCTGCCTTCCAGGAACAACAAAATAAATTCCAACAAAACAAATTCCACCCTCCATCTAGCCTATTGGAGGTGACATTCCTCACAGAGTCCAGAATGGGGATGAGGTTGGTCTGGAAATGAATCACCAGTGGATGAAAAAAAAAAAGCCCATCTTTTGCAAACAAACTGAGCAGGGATATTTGCATGGAGGACTTGGCTTCCTGTGTATTAGTCATCCACCACTGCAAAACAGTGTTTCACACTTTTGAATTGTTGTAACCAAGAATCAAGTCCTGCCCAGTACAGATCCACAGCAGCCTAGCCTACATGCAAGCAGCCAGGCAAGCAAGAGTACATCCATCCTCACCAGCTCATGGATGTATACTGCTCCTTCTCTAAAGGAATTCCCAGACATGGGACAGCCAATTGTTGAAATATATGCAAAATCAGGGTTAAAACATGCTAGTAAAGCCGGGTGAAGGTGGTTCACGCCTGTAATCTTAGCTACTCAGGAGGCTGAGATCTGAGGATCGCAGTTCAAAGCCAGCCCAGGCAGGAAAGTCCATGAGACTCTTGTCTCCAATAAACCACTCAAAAACTGAAAGTGGTGCTGTGGCTCAAGCAGTAGAGCACTGGCCTTAAGCTGAAGAGCACAGGGACAGCGCCCAAGCCCAGAGTTCAAGCCCCACGACCAACCAAAACAAAAAACAAAATAACATGCTATTGAAAAAAAAAAAAGGAGGGCTGGGAAGGTGGCTCAGTGGTAGAGCACTTGCCTTGCATGCCTGAGGCCCTGGGTTCCATTCCTCAGCACCACATAAGCAAAAAGAAAA